GGAACCGCCCTGGGAGGTTTCTGTGCAAAGCCCAATGACCAGGCCTCTCTCCCTCCCAGACAATGATGGGTTCCAGCCGCCAACAACTGAGTTTGCAGCCGAGTGCTTCACACGTGCACCTCCGGGCTCCTTCATCGCCTTGGGGTTCTCCCTCAAAGCAATGCTGCACCAACACCATCATCCAAAACCATGCACGAGCCAGAGGGGAGGTCTAAAGGGACACCCCCTGGCCCCCATCGCACGGCAATAGGCAACCGCATCCTTTCTTGCAGACAGAACCTGAGCGCAGAGGATGAGCTGTAACTCCCTCGGAGCCCCCCCACGAGGGCGGGCCCTCCTTCTGTGAGGTCCCTCCCTATAGGCAGGCTTCCACCCCAGGTTCCAGGGGTGCCCTGCTCCTGTCACGCAGGGGCAGGAACTTCAGTGACCCCAAACTCCTGGGAGCTCCACTGACCTTGGACACACAGGGGCCTCACGAGAAAGGGCCCAAGAGCACTCCAGGCCACCAACAGGGCCCACCAGACTTGCAGTGGAGGGCCGCCTCTGAGCACAGGGGACAGAGCACAGACTCAGCCACTTCCCAGGGAACACCCAGGGCAGGACCCTCAGGAGGGAGCATGCCCCATCGGGTGGGCACCTCCAGCCCATCCATACAAGGTGGCAAGCGCCCAGCAAGGCCTTGAGGGGAGGATGCGCCCAGAACATGCCGGCAGCGGTGTGAAGGGCCTTGACTGTCACTTTGCTAAAACTCGTGGCAAACGCTCCCCCGCGTGGAGAGCCTGGTGAGTGCTTTATAAACGGGAGAAAATGCTGCTGGCTGGAGGTATTTTTAGCGGCAGCTCCTGGGGCCATGGCTGGATTCAGCAGCAGCTTGGGAACAATGATTCAGCAGTGGGGGAGGCTGGTGGCCGAGCAGAGGTCCCGCTAGTCCTGAACAGAGAGCAGCTCAGCAAGCTTGGGCCCCTCCAGACTCCAGAGCCCACACCCTGGCTGGCTCCTCATCGCCCTGCTCCCAACAACGCCAGTTGGCCAAGCATCTCCTGCACCCTTGGTGACATCTAAACTGCTTCGTGACCCCACCATCCTGCTCAAAGGTGGTCCCTTCTCTGTTTCTCCAGCCCCCAAGATGGATTGCATCAAGTCCCCCAAAAGACGCATGAAACAATGCCGGGGATGGCACAATGGGGTGTTGCCAAGACCGGCATCGTTTCTATTGCAAATATTCTACTTCAGCAATGTCATCCAGGTACATTAGTGGAATGTATGGCAATCAGACTACATCTGTGGAGAGAGATGATGGAGACCCCTAATAGCACTTTAATAGCTGATAATCGATTGTTATAATAGCTTATAACAAACCGTGGACAGCCTTGAGAAGAATGGGAATTCCAGAACACTTCATTGTGCTCATTTGGAACTTATACTTGGATCAAGAGGCAATTGTTAAAAAGGAAATGGAACAGTGCATGGTCTACAATGGGGAAAGGTGTGAATCCTCTCATCCTACTTGTTCAATTTGCTGAACAAATCATGAGATAAACTGGATTATACGAAGAGTGTGGCATCAGGATGGGAGGAAGGCTTCTTAATAACCTGCGATGTGCAGACGACACAACCTTGCTTGCTGAACGTGAGGATGAATTGAAAGCCCTTGCTGATGAAGACGAAGGATGGTAGCCTTCAGCTTGAATTACGACTCACTGTGAGGAAGACCAACATCCTCACAATTAGACCAATAGGTAACATCACTGTAAATGGAGAAAAGATTGATGTTGTCAAGGAGTTCGTCCTGCTTGGATCCACAGTCAAGATCTCGGAAGCAGCAGTCCAGAGACCAATGGCGCATTGCATTGGGCACATCTGCTGCACACAACCTCTTTAGAGTGCTGAAGAGCAAGGAGGTGACTTGGAGGGCAAAAGTGCACCTGACCATGGCCTCATAGGCATGTGACAGTTGGACACTGAATAAGAATCGATACATTTGAATGAGGGTGCTGACCAAGAAGATGGAAAGAACCAGACTTCCCAAAGAACAAACAAACGTGGCTTGAAGGATAGCCCGGATGTTCCTTAAAGGCCAGGACGGTGAGACCGCATCTCACGTCCTTTGGACACGTGAAAGTTGGACGCTGACTAAGGAAGACCACGCCTCACAAGGAAGATGGCACCTAATAGCACCACCACCAGAAGAACACGCAAACCTGTCTCGGAGGAAGGACAACCAGACGGCGCTTTGGAAACAAAGACAGACGGTCAGACTTCCTCTTACTTTCTCGTAGGTACTTTGACGGAGTCCCTAGAGAGGACCTCACGCTCAACAAAGCAGTTGTTGTTGCTGCTGTGGTGGTTGTTTAAGTGCTTCCTCGAGTCAGTTCCCACGGATGCGCCGAGGCACAACAGGAAGGAAACACCGACCGGGGCCATGTCACCCGCACAACTGCTGCTGGGCTTGCGCCCATGGTTGCAGCCACGCGTCCGTCCATCTCACTGAGGGTCTTCCTCTCCCTCGCTGCCCCTCAACTTGACCAAGCATGACGTCTTTCTCCAGAGGCTGGTCTCCCCCGGTAACACGTCCAGAGCACGTGAGCAGGAGTCTCGCCACCCTCACTTCTTCCGGGACAGCTCTGTTGATCCCTGCACGGCTCGCCTTCTTCTCCAGCCCACAATTCAAATGTAGACCCTTCGCGGTCTTCCTTCTTCAGTGTCGGAAGTTCACACGCATTGCAGGCGACCGGAGCTACCACGGCCAGGGGCAGCAGGTGCCTCAGTCCTCATAGTGACCTCCTGGCTCGTCAACACTTTAAAGGGATCATCTGCAGATGGACCCAGTGCGATGTACAC